GCTGTGTCCTTCAAATTTTTCTCTCGCAAATCGTAAACGATCAACGCTCTTCCCAAAGGCCGATTGAAACAATTCGAAAACATATTAAAGCAAATCATTCAACACCGAAACAAATTTAAGATTAGATAGATCGAATTGGCTACAGATCCAACAGCCAAATTTTCCGAAATCTGAGATCGCAGAACATCAATGAAAGCGGAAGATTTGAAATACGATCGAAGTAGGGCCGCTAAAACATGCATATCTAACTGATGCTGTTTCCTTAAGGATATTGGCTTCTTTGAAGTTCGGTATAACTCAACCTAGCCTGAGAAAAGCAGCCGTCCATTTGCTCCCTTCGTTGCCCCGCGAAAAAAACGCGGGGAAACGAAGGGCGCGAAAGGACGGCTACTTTTCTCAGGCTAAACTCAACCGAACACTTTTAGGTATTTACCGTGCTTGAAGTTTTAGTGAATTCGTTTGCTTGAATTTTTAATGTATTCGGCGTTTGCGCGGGGTAAAGTGTCAGTAGCACGGTTCTCGGCGTGGGCTCATTAATTCGGGTCATCTGAATTCGATTCGGGCCTTCTGCAATCGGAATCACAAATTCGTTGCTTTTGAGTCGCGTCGGAAAGAAAATTTTAGCTAAGGAGTTCAGAGTTTGTAAGGATAAAAGTCAAGTGCTTGCGATCTGAGATTTCCAGTTATGACATAGTTCTTACTATCATAATCAATAAACTAAAAAGGGTTGTCTCGTTGAATAGCACATCGAAAAAAAAATAAAGCTTGGTGCTGTCTACATTCAAAATATATCTCTTTTTCTTCTCGCCTTCAATTTTTTTTATAATAAGACGATTTGTTGCCGACAGTGCTAATACTTGTGAACAAGACTGCGACATCAAAGAACAAAGCTGAAAGGTTTTTCTAACTGTGTAATGAAACACTGCCTTTCCCAGAACTGACACACCTTTGTAACAAAATATTGCAAATGTATGAATAATTTATCGGATTACCTTAACGCACTAATACGTCTTTGCTCTTCATTGACCTGCCATGCACATCTAGCGATGACAAACTTTTCTCGTAGGCCCATTTTATGCATATCCCCACACTGAGACAAGGAAAATTTAGGTCTACGCAGATCCCGCTGTTACCTCATACTTTAACCTCACAAAAAAAACTATTAAACCTTTAATCCAAAAAGCATCTACCATCTACTTTCTCCTTATAGTATAACCCCTAAATAAAAAATTAACTTTACGACTGAAGGAAACGTTCACAAAGTAAAGAAGCTCTTAATTTTCAAACCCGCAGTTCTCCTTGTCAGCAGATTAGGAAATGTATAAAGACTAGTGATAAGAATACGCATTCTAATTTCAGTGTGTAAGGGGTCAATAAATTAAGATGTTACGAATCACTTGAATGAGGTCCAAGCGAAATGTTCCTCAGCCAGCAGTTTTTCAGTCTGTTCTCTAAAGCCAATCTTTCTCTTTCTTTGAGCACAAGAAAAATAAATGACTTACTGAGCGCGACTGCTCATTAGTATATATGGTTTATGGAACTCAGACAGGCATGAATCAATGTAGAAATGACTCAATATTTATAATTGAAGACTAGGGGGAGGGATTTTTTTACAATCTTATTCGCAACAAAACTTTTGCGCTAGAAGGTTACATTGGACTAATTTGTGACATAAGGCATTGTACAAAACTTCGTAGGTCGCCTTTGAGCCTTCCCTTTGTTTCCAAGCCAATAACATACTGTAAGCACTCCTAGCCAACCTGTTGCTGCACCTATCATTTGCATAGAAGTTACTTCTTGCGGCTTGGTTGTATCCCAGGCGTCCTGCTAATTCCTCCCATTTTTCTCCAAGCTCCTGAGACAGCTCTTCTAACTCGTCCTCTGATGGTCTACCTGCCATAACTAAATCGATGGATTTAAATGGATGGAGAGGGCAAAAATTAGAAAAAGGATGCTTCAAAGAGGTTATTTAGGTTATTTAGGGAAAATACCTCTAGAGGTAGTCGGCGCCGTGTCTCTCGGTCGTGTGGATCGCTGTCCTCCTCGATTTGAAGGTCCGGGCTGTGCATCCTCTGCGTAAGACTCTCCTAAAAGACACAAGTGGATTAGATTAACTCTATGCCCACCTTTCATAACTCGTTTCTTGGCTTCTTTCCTTCTCATCCCTTCTCTACTGCCTTCCCTCCTTCCTCCCCCTCTCTTCTCCCATTCATCCATAGCTTTAATCCCCTCTATTTTTCCTCTCTCCTTCCCTTCTACTCCCTATTCCCCTTCTTCTCTACTTCCCTCCCTCTCCCCCTTCCTCCTTTCCTATCTTCCTCCCTCATCCCTTCCTTCTCGCCATCTGTCTCATGTTCAGGAACCGTTATGGAGTTAACTTGGTGACTAGAATTAGGAATCTCGTTTTAAGTTATTGTCATTAGGTTTTTCTCAAATGCGATGCTATTGAAATCACTAAAGGAGGAACATTGATCAAAGCCTCCACAGAGTTTGGAGGCATTTGAATTTGCGAAATAAGGATCAATTGGTAAACCTGTTACTTCCATTAAATGTAACGTAAACGGAATTAAGAGGCTCTTTAGGTAAAATACCTCCAGAGGTAGTCGGCGCTATGTCTCTCGGTCGTGTGGATCGCCTTCCTCCTTGATTTGAAGTTCCGGGCTGTGCATCCTCTGCGTAAAACTCTCCTAAAAGACGCGAGTGGATTAGATTAGCTCTATGCCCACCTTTCATTTCTCGTTTCTTTGTTTCTTTTCTTCTCATCCCTTCTCTACTCCCTTCCCTCCTTCGTCCCCCTCTCTTCTCCCACTCTTCCATAGCTATAGTCCCCTCTATTTTTTCTCTCTCCTTCCCTTCTACTCCTTTTCCCCTTTTTCTCTACTTCCCTCCCTCTCCCCCTTCCTCCTTTCCCATCTTCCTCCCTGACCCTTTCCCTCTCGCTATCTGTCTCATGTTCAGGAACCGTTATGGGATTTACTTGGTGACTATAATTGGGAATCTTATTTCTTCTAAGAAATTATGGCTAAATATTGTCACCACTTGAATAAACCTTAAAAGGTTTTTTCAAGTGAAGAGGATAATATTTAGCCATAATTTTCGGTAACAAGGTCCAAGAACATAAACTCTTTAAGCAACTCAGCTCACAACCCAGGCGAGGTCCTAAATCTTCCCATTTATCACCTAATTTACCAGATTTAGCCGCACTTACATAGAAATATTTCTAATCCTTTGTTCTCGATATCGTCTTCGGTTCACGGCGTGTCATACTGCGGAATTTGTAGCTGTTCCTGTTCTGTCATAGCTCCGCTATAAATAAGGGATTGCGTATCTTCAAGTCTCTGAATCTTTTGTAGAGCTCAACTACACCCCTCCCATATGCTGAATATCAAAAATCTCAGTCTCAGCCAAGAAATGGTGCTAATTATTTGAGTCCAGCAAAGATTTTAGAGCTGAAAGTATATGTGGAGATACGGACCAAGCTTAAGAAGCAAAACCTCCGCCAACTTGACTCAACCAGGAACATGCAAGCATCTGTGCTCTAATTTTTCAGAAGAGCTAATTTGGATGCAGTTCCTAGAAAACTTTCCACGTTATTTACGAACTCTGATCTTTATATTCGCACATGCGAACTGGTTCCCAGGGCCTTTTCCCCTAGTTGCGGGTGGGGGAAAAGACCCTGAGAACGAGGTTGTCGCTCATGGCCTGAAAATCGTCTTGAACAAAGAAGTCATGAACTCTTCCTCCCGTCTTCTCTCTGTTCCTCCTTCCTTTTCTTCCTTCCTGCTCCCTCCCTCCTCCATCCCTTCCCATATCATTTGCAGTTATACCTATGGGGTCCTCAAGTGACTGAGATTAAGGAATATTAAATTTTGAACGTCATATTACGGTAAAATTGGCGGTTTTAAGACATGACAATCGTTAATACAGGCCACGTAATTTTGAAACTCATTTTTTTCTTAGACATTACACTTAAAAGATAAACACCATCACCTTGTGGCCGTTTCCCTCTTTTAGGATCTGGACCACGACCAGGACCAGATAGCAGCCATGATCTCTTTCGAGAACTACCTTCATTATCTGAGCTATCTGCAGACATCCCAGAAAAAAATCATACCTCCAGTAAAACAAGCTGAAATTCTTATTTCATTGGATGCAATTCAAAATGCCACTTTCAGCCATCCTTGAAACTTAAAAAATTCAAAGTGTAACAAAGTATGACTTTTACTGTCACCTTTTATGTAGTAAAAATGACTGAAACCACCTTTGTACCTACAAGTTGGCTCGTGTTTCCTAATCGTTTTCTCAATGAACCTTACTTAGACGACCTTGCCAGCGGCGATTGTTCGGAATGGTCGTAAGCCATTTACTAGTTTCTTTTGCTCTGTTTCGTTTTGCTGTTAATCTGTTTCTTCCCTCTTTGTTTGCAGGGCATTATTATTAAAATTATTATTATCATTATTATTATTATTATGAGCTAACTAGCTAATTGAGCAGATAATAAGTGAAAAGAGTGATGAATCAAAGAAAACTTAAAACGAATTACAGAAGGAGTGCTTTTCTGTGTCTCTACGACTGAATTACCGTTGAGAAAAGAAAGCAACTTCTCTTTTAGTAAAGGCTCGCAGCATGAAAAAATAACTTCAATAAAACTAAAGGAGCGAACAGCTCGTGAGTGGCATATTATTGTTTCTGGATGATAGCCTATAACCACCCCCTAACACGGCGGGCTATACTTTATTATATAAGTACTGAGATTTACTTGGTGCAAACTCACCGAATAAAAATCGTCTCTCTTTGACGAGAAGCAATCTCATCGGTCATGCGATTAATTTCACTAGTGAAAAATATCGTATGACCAATCAGAAGCCTGATATGATTGATTTCACAAGTAAGAAAAGGCGTATCGATTTTTTTCCCGCCTTTCGGGGCGGCCATGCGAAGTAATTGAGAGTGAATGTTTGCAACGTTTCCTGCCGTCCAGAATAATGGTTTCAAGGCTTGCAGATATTCATTCAGTGGAACAAGTATCGAGGACCAACAAAACGAAAAATCAAATTTATCTCAAGCTTCTGAATGTTTTTCGACCCCAGTTCATTCAGCTAATTGGGCTACAGATTATCAACGTGGCTAGCTAGCAATGTCGCTCTTTACCGGTCCTGTTATTCATGGTGGTCAATTCAACATCTTTATCACCAGCCTTAATCAACCACCGACCTTGACCACCCCAGAAACTGAGAGAAAGTTCACAGAGAGGTGCAAAAGACTAAAAGTACTCGACTCCAATTCAGAGAAGAAAACACTATATTAGTTTGAAAACTTATGTGAGCTAATATTTTCAGAAACCCTTCAGTTGTAAAACGTAAGCCCAAATTTCTTTCGAATGGGGTTTGCGATCTTTTTTCTTTAGATGAATTGTTTTTAAAAGTACAGTCCTTTCGCCTTTATAAGCATATCCGAATGCATTATTTTAGGCGCCTGGACAACATTTATTGGGTTTAAATAATAGCGATATCGAGTTCGCGACTTCTTTGTCTTTTGCGGTCAGTTGACTGTGATTCAAGTTAAAATTACAAACGCTTGTAACATCTCAGTACAATTAAATATAATAAAAAAACTACTTCATAGTTAGTTCGCTTGTACGGTTTTTATTCACTTGTCGTGAAGAATCACAAACGCACTCGCTCGAAGACTCGCTCGTTTGTTTCTTATTCTTAACAACTCGTGAATAAAAATCGTACGCGCTCCCCAACCATGAAGTAATCTATATGTAACCTATCATCCAAAGAGGCTGCGGAGTTCTTACACAAGCGATATAAAGTTTTGATTGTACCATATACTTTTCTCAAGTTATTTAGTCAGGATGCTTGATGTACATGAAGGTCGTAAAACTATCCAGCTGTAGTTAACATGACAACAGATAAAGCGTTGGTCATTGATTGATCGCTTTACAGTAAAATTGATGTGCAGTGCTTCATATGATTAATTTTTTCCTTTGCTCAGTACCAATGTGATCAAGGTAAATGGCAGTTAAGAGTGAAGCTTTCAGCTGAGAAATCCTTACTGTTAGTCCCTGTCTGATCATTGTACAGTACATCTAGCTGACAATGCTTCTAATCATTAATTTTCCTTTGCTCTACACAAATGTGATCAAAGTAATTGCCAGTTTAGAGTGAAGCTTTTTCTTCTGAGGTGTCCTTACTGCTGGACTCTGATTGATCATTTTCTAATTCTGGATTAATACAATGCTTCTATTAATCAATGTTTTCCCTTGCTCTGCACTACTACGATCAAGTTATATGCCAGTTAAGAGTGTAGCTTTTTGCTGAGGAAACTCAGTACATGTAGGTTCAATGCTTCTAATGACTAGTTTTGTCTCTTGTGCTAAACTACCCTGATCAAGGTATATGCTAGTAAGGAGTAAAGCTCTTAGCTGTGGAATTCCTACTGTTAGGCATTGATTGATCATTTACAGTAGATTTAGGTGCAATGATTCTATGTAAGTATGTACGTACGTACGTACGTACGTACACACACACACATCTTTACATGCACTCATTTTATAATGCTTATTTTTAGCATTTAACCATTCATTGAATGCTGTAAGTATTTTGGAAACACTGTATAAGATGATCCATTATTAGCTAAATCTCTATTAACTCGTCTTTTTAGTAAGCACACTCTATGAAATCAAGTAACTGATAGTTTAATCGATTAATTCCCGAACCTGATCCCTTGAGAAATATTCAAGTATAGGATCGCGTAATTATTTTGAAGTTACCTTAAAAATTTTTTTCACATCTTTTTCATTATTACTGATGAGAATTTAAAACTACTGAAACCACAGATATAAATCAAAATGTACTTAACTTAACGTTTATAAAAATGGCTTTTGAAAATTTGTAACTCTGGTAATTTTTTGTTTTTTTTTTTGTAATCTTGGATGAAGAAGGGTGAAAGTGGTAAAAATGGAACGAAAAAAATGGCTTTAAAGTTAACTGTCAGAGAATGTTTTTGCCAATGATGGCAGGTTTATGACAAGTAAAAATGAATCTCACGAATTTCTCGAGAACAAGTTAAAGTTTGAGTAGCTGTTTTGAAACCCTCGTTTCTGATCATCACACAGTAACAATGCGAGTGGTGTTCAATCGATCTCCTTCGTCAGGTTCCACTGGTTATTTATGCTCCTATTCCTTTACATTCAGAAGGCCGAGACTACATGAATAATTACAGCCAAAAAAAAGACACATTTTATTGCAAGAGACAGTTAATGGGAAGGGTGTATAAAGTTGGATGTTTGGTTGACTCACAAAATGATAAAGATGAAGGAATGATAATTGCTAATTATTGTTATGATAAAAGTTATTAAGCAACTCCTCTCTGCACTGCTCCACGAAATGAGTTCTAATTTTTGTCAATTGAAGTTGGAAGTCCTCTGAAATTTGCCGCAGCAATTACGTTTCCACTATACTCTACTTACAATTACTGAGATACCCTTAAAATCTCTTAGAGAAGACCGCAGCTACAAATGCTATGAAAGCTACATTCTTAAGAACAAGGCAAAGCAAGTGTCACCAAAATCGCAAGAGTGAACTCATTTGTCTTCTGTGAACCGATGCGCGAATAAGTTAAGACTGTTTGGAAAGAAAAATTTCGATGTCTGCCTCATAACTTTGAAATCATTCAACACAGAGAGACAAAGGAGATAAACTTGTATACAGGTCTACGGAAAACAAATTCATTGCGTTCATAAGATTTCAAGAAACATCGAAGAAAAATGAAAATTTGGCACATTTGATCTTTCCTGTAGTCAAAGCACAACTCATAAATCAATTCTCCCTCTCTAAACTTTTTATGCCTAGCGTTAAAATCATTCCTTGATAAATTTGAAAGAATTGGTACTAAGCGGTTGTTAGCCATGAAAATCAACGGCAATCTCGCTTTGCATGTCCATCTACAACATAGCTATCACTCAGGAATTGACCAAAATTCTTTTGCTTCAGTGCAAATCACAAGTTATGCTAGGCGCTTTCCTTTGCGCAGAAAATACATAGCTTCCTCTTCTCAAAACACATCTTAAAGTGGGGATAGCTGACAAGATTTTTCGAGATTTTTTTTTCCAAGCGAAGGACGGACAGCCTGTGTATCGATCTGATCCCGCTGTCCCCTAAGGTTGTTGTAAATTTCAGATTAACTTTACCGAACAGTTGCAGGTGTTGTGTTATGCTTAAAATTAACGTTTTCGTGTATATGTTTGCGTCTGGGCTAGCGTCGACTATTGCACCATTAGCTGAAGACTTTAATTCGCCCAAAGTAGCCGGATCAGTATCTTAATTGCTGCAAATGCAATCATCAAAATATTCGGCACTTTTCGGCATGGTTGAAAGGGAATCGATTGAGCGGACGGACCATTAAAGAGTGGTAAGAACGTTACCCAAACATATCCTTCAGACCGTAACCCCACGATTGATTTGCATTTCTCTGGCTTTGAATGCTATAACATTGATTAGTAACTTAACCCCACCCTGTTCCATGAGATAAATTATTGCTCTAGTCAACTGAAATACGAATCCAGGAAACGAACTTGACACGAGCCAGACATAATTACCTGATGTGATTATGCTAAAAAAATTCCTGCCTGACTTAGGCCTCAATGCGGCCGTACAGTTCGAATGAACATATGTAATTAGTGACGGAATGGTTTAATAAGTTAGTCGAATGCCCTGATCATGATACAGCGCAATACACCGTATGTTCTGTTATTTGCAATAGACTTGTTTGAAATATCAATTTTTTTTTCAATAAAATTCTCAACCTACAAACTAATACAATCCACAAATTTTGAAACATTTACGGCTACCAGTATATTATATGATTCACTGCGTAGATACTAATTGCGTCTCACTCATTTCACCAACTTGCCTAGATTTAAATCGTGCCGTCATAGCTCTGCTACAAATAAGGGATTATATCTTCAAGTATCTTCAAGCAATGGTTTTAGAGCTGAGAGTATAACTGGCACAAGAGAGGGAACGTTATCTTTACGACCTGCTTTAACAAATATCTGCCCCTTAAGAGTGATATAGTTTTTCTGGGTTACAAACCAAGACTTCTCATTGTCACAAATTTGAAACGACAATATAATTCTTCACCTTTCCCATAATTGAAATTTAGGATTTATCAATCCCCTAGTTTCTTTCAGGGACTACTCGAAAGTATCTACATGCAAATTCAGACCTTGAACACGCAAAGAATAGTTACCTCTGGTCACCTTTGCTTTCGTATAATCAGTAGTCGACGACCGTCTCATACGATTTGATACATCTGAAAACACGATAAGGATATATTATTTCTGTGACGATCACTCTGAAATAATGTTCCCCGCCCCCTATTTTGCCGTTACAGTGACAATTCTCTCATTTGCTTTCCGAGACTCGATTAGACTTAGCACAAAGTAATTAATCACGCTCTCTGTGTACTCATGCGATCATCTACATCTAGAGTGTCAAATGACTAGCACCAACAAGGTGCCAAAAGTTTTACCTTTGATAAGAATTAATTCCCTTTTTTGGGACTGAAAAGCTATTGGATGAATCAGCTAACAAGTGAACGAGACGCTCAAAGTGATTCTTTGTGCGGATTTTGTTGGACACGATTTTTGTCATCCATCCTTTCCCATCTTACAGTTGTCATGATTGGGGAAGGAAGGGTGTGGGAGGAGGGTAGGTTGGAGGAACAGCGCGCCCGAGGTGGAGATAGATGCGAAACACAATGAATGCTCCCTGACCTCATTATAAAATGGCCCGACAAGACGACAACAACCTTGAGCTACGTCTTGTAGAGGAAAATCAATCAAAACCTTGACAGAGTTCTGATTCATTTTTTTCAAAAGAGGTTTAATCAGTGAACCAGTAAACTTCCCTTTTCTTTTAAATTTAACGTCAAAAGAATTCACAGTTTATTTAAGTAATTTACCTTCAGAAGTAGTCAGCGCCCTTTTACCGGGTCGTTTGGATCGCCCTTCTCCTCGAGTTGAAGGTCCGGGCCGCGCATCCTTTGCGTAAGATTCTCCTAAGGAAAGTGAGAGGATTAGATTTACTCTCTGCTCACTGCCATTTTTCTTCCCCTCTCTCCGTTCTTTCCTTCATCTTCCTTAATTTCTATCTTTCTCCCTTTAATTCCTCCCTCGCTCCCACCACTCAGTCCTTCAATCCTCTTTTCACGCTTTCCTCCCTCCACACCTTTATCGTTTTCTTTCGTCTTTCCTCCTCCCTTATTACCTTCCTCAATCTCTCTAGATCTCTCTCTCTCTCTCTCTTTCCCTCCATCCCTTGCACTCTCTTTATTCTATCTTCTCTTTCTTCCCTTCCTTTCTTCCCCCTCCACCTTCCATCTCTTCCTCCCTAAGTAACAACACTAGAACTGCTCGATCACTAAGATCGTTTAAAAAGCATGCAAATGCAGAATTAGCGAAGAAATCGGATACCGTTATCTCAACATATAGCTATAGTATATTTTATATTAGTATATACACACTCAGTGATCTTGGCGTTTCAAGCAATCTGATTGGTTCGCTATCTCGGGCTAATCAACAATGTACACCTCTGAGCAATGTGAAAAACAAAATGGCGGGCGTAAACTCGCGTTTCGCAGAAGCAGAAATTGCCTTTAAATGGCTTCCTTTTAATTTTGTCGAGATCACTTCGTGTGTATATACTAAAACAATCATTCTTTTCATTCTCGGTTAATAGTGGCTTTCGGGAATATTTACCTCGCCGCTTGACGGCTCGGTAAATATTTATCCACCATTCACCTCGATTTCAAAGAATAATCTGTTAAGTGATAGTGGTAGTGTAAGTTGTTATGATTATTATTTTAGTAGTAGTAATTTTAAGTTATTTCTATATCAAGTACATGAAAGTTATTATATTCTATATCATTACTCTTATTTATATCACATCTACACATTGTAAATTAATTCTGAAAAGCCCCTTGGGGAGAATTAATAATAAAGTATTGTATTGTATAGGAACCGTGAAGAGATCTGACCTGGTCATAATTTTCGGCAGTAAGGTCCACTAGTCTAAATTCTTTCAGAAACTTGGCTCGTTTCTAAGGCAATGTGTTAAATCTCCCCATTTGTCACCTTATTTGCGTAGTTGTTTGTAGGAGTACCAGATTTAGCCGCAATTACATAGGAATAGACGTAATCTTTTATTCTCGACGTGTAAAACCACACGCGTCCCATACAATCTGTTTGTGCAACCCATTGTTATTTTATGATAAATGTACCAGATTTACCGTTTGTCTCACCTATAGCGATATATTGCTGACTATGTATCTAAATCAATGTTAAATAAACGTTGAATTACCTAACCTGTGGTGTATAGTCGTCCTTTTGCCTCAAAACTGATTCTTTGAGCGATTTTGAATAAGTTTGAGTTCGTCGTTGACTCTTACTTAAACTTATTCAAAATCGCTCAAAAAATCACTTTTGAGGCAAAATGACGACAATACACCACAGGTAAGGTAATTAAACGTTTATTTGTAATCGATTTATATACAATAATCAACAATATATCGCTATAGGTGAGGCACACGGTAAATCTGGTACATTCACTATAACAACAATCGGCTACACAAATAGATTGTATGGGTTCCCTGTGATGAAACTAAAAAAGTTTAAGAGCCATTGACCGTAAATAGGGATCTTACGCAACCACGACGGCGACGGCAACGAGGACGTGGAAAAACAAGAGATCTAATTGGCAGAACAATAGCTCAGCACGTGCGTTTTTAAACTTTGTACATTTCTTAGCCTTGCTATGCAAAACAACAACGTGAAAT